TTTGCGTGTATGCTCCAAGTGAAATAAAATGTAAAAGCAATAAAAAAAAAACGGTGTACAATCATTGAAAGTTGACTTGCGGAACACAAATTTATTAAGGTATAACAAAATCAAACGGATACTTCGATAGCTCCTGCTATCTTTATCAACGTTAAAGTGAGAAAACTTTGGAGATCTTACACATACATAAAGAATAATAAATGGTATTAACCAATCATAACCAATCAGAATCAAGTTAACAATAAAATTAGTTGATTGGACCATAAAATTAAAGATCAGTGACAAGTTAATGGGCGAATTAATTACACTTAAACCATGATAAGATGTCGGCAAAATGATTGCGATAGTTTATTGGCAGTGCCATTGAACCAGCTTAATGCTAAGACTTATTTAACTAATAATAGGTATATGTATGGGTTTAGATATAACGCATGATATCATGATAACTATTAAATACAATTTAGAAATCAATGAACATAATAAAATGTACATAAGTAAAAATAATATATAGCATATATTGTTATATACTGTATTCATAGTGAATTATCGCCTTCATACGCTTCAAAACAAGCATACATCGTACACACATTCACTTTAAACATTAATGTAGCAGTATATTCAAGCTTTTTGCGAGAGCCTATTTTTTGCAGTTGTATCGACATGCAGTTGTATCGACATGAATGTGGTTTAGTTTCATTTGGAATTGTTTTCATTTGGTTGTGGGCTGATATTTTCTGCTGGAGGCTTGGCATATACAAATAGCTTTACTTTGACATTGTTTTTGATATATTATGTGAAAAGTATGTACCTAGTCTGCGATCAAAGGTGACAAGAAAATTTACAGATTTTAGGTTTGCTTCGGCTACAATTTTCCATTTGAGTGGAAGACTGATGTGAGGTCTTTCTTTATTTTTTCAATTTGGGCTGTGCTAGTGTCTCAAAAAACGGCTAATCCAGCATCTCTATACATTCCAAAGTTTGGAGATGCAATGGAGAATGTGTTCCAACAATCTTGCATTTTTCTGCACCCTCATGTCTCTCCATTGTTACATCAAAATTGTCTGCTGACTTTTTCTTTCATGGTGTATCATTGTGAAAACGTAGGAATTTCTTCGGTGCCATTATATTCATTTCGCTATATTGGATGTCTGTGTGTATACAATATATATATATAATTTAAAATTCTTTCATTCCTAAAATTACATTTGTTTTATGTTCTAGTGGAACATGTTGTTGCCCTCTATTTACTGTGACTGCTGCAGATGTATCTGGTAACTCTTTAACGATATCGGCAAACATGACAGAGCCAGGAACTCCATCACCAGCATGTATTCCACCAGAACCAAAGGCTTTACCACCAGGTGCGTTAATTTCAAATGCTACAGCAAACTTTACGACGTCTACACTGGAATTGACTACAGCTGTCTATTCTACAGATGCAACAACAGCGGTAAGTATATCAAATTATTCAGCTCTATTAACATGTTATTCTTTTTAGTTTTACATTGTAAACAGCTTTTTGCATCTACGTAGCTCGTAAAAAGTAACAGTCACAATCTTGAATTCAACAAATGATAATTATCAGCCTTACTTCACCTCGAAAAACAAATTTACTTGTGTGTGCATGTGCGTATGTATCTAGTCTATGTAAACATATATATGAATGCTGAGACAGGTGAAAATGCAAATGAGTTAATTGTTTTTAAGTAGGTATTTGTTGCTGTGCCTGCATTTAGACAATAGCTCGGTTCTTTTGTTTAGTATTGACTGTTTGTCTGAATATATTATGTGAAGTTTCTCGGTTATGCACAGGTTGCAGCGTTTTGTTTTTGGGGAGTAAGCCGATGCTCTGTCGATGATAGACCATTAAAATGTTAGGGTGTGTTGCTGTCTTTTAATTTCTATACGTATTTGGAGAGCACGGTGCTGTTTCTGTGTTTGGGGGTGTTAAAAGTGTATTTGTGGTTTGTGTATCGGGTTTTGAACGGTGTGTCAGTGAGCCCGATGTAGCATTTTGTGTCATCATTTGAGTGGACAGTGGCTTTGTAGATGATGGATGAGGTGAGGCAATTTCCAGAGAGTGGACATTCATCTTTTTTCCTGCAATTGCAGAGAGTTTATGGCTGTTGTTGCTTAGCAACCAGAAGCTTTGATTATACTGCCCATGTTTCTTGAGCAGCTATAGAAGTTGTTCTTGTTAAATGCTTGTGCAATATGTTGCCACTCGGGAAATGCTGTTTGACAAGGTTAAGGAATGATTTTCCGATGTTGGTTTTCACTCCTTTACTGAATGGCGGGTTGTACCAGATTATTTGTTTGCTTCTGTTTTTCTTCGGAGATTTTGGTTGTGGAAGCTGGTATTCCATTTTGTGCTGGAATCCGCTGTATTGCAGAGCTTGTTTGTAGTCAGGGGCGGCCTGATGGAATGATTCGCTGGAATCAGATATGTTGGATATGCGTCTGTTAATAGATGCGGGAATTTGTTTCAGGATAGATGGGGGATGGTTTGATTTGCTGTTGACGTAGAGTAGTTGGTTGTTTGGTTTTCTGTAAGGCTTGAAGGACCCATTGTTTAGGCTGAGTGTGACATCGAGGAAGTTGGTGGTGTGGATGTTCGCCTGTATGGTGATGCGGAGGTCGAATGCGTGGAAGATAGATGTAATATTTTTTCTCATTTTATCGCATTGTCTTGGTGATGAACTGTTCATGACGGCGAGGCCATCATCTCGGTAGAGACCGACGTCAGTTTTGCCGAGTATTGGGATGAGGGAGGAGAGGACGAAGGATCCGACAAGTTCGCATATTTCGGCCCCGTCGAAGCTTCCCATAGTAACGTCAAACATGTCATCCGAGTTTTTCTTGGTCCATGTTGAATCGTTACCAAACAATATTGATTTTGGGGAGTGCATGATGATATCTGCTTCGTGTTCGGAGATGCTGGTGTACTTTCGTGCGTACTTGATCGCATCTGTTAACATTTTTTTGTGATGGATGGGTAGAAGATGTCAAAGGAGATGAATGTGCTGCTTGATTTGTATGGGATGTGTTTAAACCATTCGGTGACAGCAGCGGTGTTTTTCCATTGGTTCATTTGAGTTTTTGTGAGCAGGTCACGGTTTATCCGGTCGAGGATGGTCTTGCTTATGAGTCCGGTTTCTGATTTTGATGGGTTTATGAGTCTACAGCTTGGTTTATTTAGGAAGTCTTCTTTATGATCTTTGAGTGTTATAAAAGCCTCTTTTTCAGCATTGCTTTCCATTCGGTCCTCGATTTTAGTTTTGTAGCAATTGATTGACTACGTTGTTGATTTCGTGGGTGCTTCCTTCTTTTGCTTTCTCGTATGACGTGGTGATGTTTTCATGCATGAGTTTGTCGTACTCTTCTCAGGGGCGGATCCAGAGATGTCCAAAGGGGGGGGGGGCCAAAATTTGGGCCGATCGAGACAACAATGTTCTATGGGGTCCCCCGCGAAATTTTTATGTTCTAGACGCCCGAAAATAACATTTGAGGCGTTGTGGGCTGTCATTTTTTTCTTTTCCCTTCTTTTTTTCTTTTTTTTCCTCTTTTTTTACCTCCCAAAAGGAGGGGCCGGGCCGCCCCCCGCCCCCAAATCCTCCCCTGCTTCTTTAGTTACTTTGTAGAAGTTTGTAGTTTTGTCGGCGGGGATGATGAGCTTGTTCGCTTCGCTGATGGTGATTGAGTCCTGCTCGAGTTTGGTTAGGAAAGCGCATTTCGTGTCTTCGACCATTTTTAAGACATCATCTTCGAAATGAAGTGAGTAGCACATAACATTAATATGCATTGAAATTACCATTACTAGTAATACTACCTCAGCCCATTATGGTTGAGGCTGAGGTAAGAAAAAATTATGATTATGGCACCTCAATATGGCCAAAAATGGCACTCTCAGTCTTAAATTTGAATATTATTTTTTCTCTCCATTTCTTATAATTTAAAAATAAAATAGGTGGGAGGGTGAGGCGAGGTCCCCAATGAATCCACCACTGTGGAGAATATTTGTTGCACTCATAATTTTGAAATATTTAAAACAATGACGATTTTTTTGGCTAGTGTACAGTTGACTTGGGCGACGCTGTCTAGGCAAATATTAATTAGAAAAAGAACACACTCGTAAAAAAGCTCAAACTAACTCAAACAGCAAAGAAGCAGCTAATCATTTATAATATTTTGTTTATTAACTGCGTCTGGTTAATGAAAGGTGTATTCCTCTCTAACTTAAATGTAGATTCTGTCATTTATATGCATCCGACTCTTTATTTGATAGGTTCCGTATTCATCAAAGTCAAGTACAGAAACAGACTATGCTACATCACATTCTACCACTGTTTTCAATCTTTCGGATGCAACCACAATGGTATAAATATAACGTTTTTCTTCTCAATTTATATTTTCTTAAATTATTATTATGATTATTATATATTGTTATTGTTGTTGTTATTCTTAACGTTACTATTGTTATAATATTTATTTATTATCTTCTCAATTTATATATTCTTACATTATTATAATGATTACTATGATTATTATATATTATTATTATTATTGTTGTTGTTAATCTTATCGTTATTTATATTGTTATATTTTATTTATTTATTATTATTATTATATTTATTATTATTATTATTATTATAAATACATTGTGTAATAAAATGCCTTTGAATGCATTCGAAAAAACGAGCGTCATAACCATTAGACTATATAGGCTTCGTGGTTAAACAGATTCAAATAACCGTCAGGTATTACACACACACCCACACACACAAAA